TTTTTTTTTTTTTTTTTATTGATTCTCTCAACCTAGCAGGAGTCTTATGATTCCTGACTGGTTCAGTAACTCCATGACTCATCACATAAATTACTCTGTAAAATTGTGTGTGCAGTCAATCTATACCCTATCTAGATGTTTCACATATTAGGGCTGAAAAATGAATGCCATCACAGAAATAAATTTAGGAAACCAAACCAAAGTTAAAACTCTTTTAAACAAAAGTGTATTTTAAGAAATGAGCTTAGGTGAGGTAAGATAATTTAATATTTCCAGGTGTATTTCTTACCTGAAAAATGGGAGGTTTAAGTCAAATGTTAGAGTCCTTTGAGTCAGAAATTTGAATCAATGGGTCATTTTATTTAAATGCCAGAATTAGGGCGCCTGGGTGGCTCAGTTGGTTAAGTGACTGCCTTCGGCTCAGGTCATGATCCCAGAGTCCTGGGATCGAGTCCCACATCGGGCTCCCGGCTCAGCGGGGAGCCTGCTTCTCCCTCTGACCCTATCCCCTCTCATGCTGTTTCTCTCTCTCTCTCTCTAATAAATAAAAAAAAAATCTAAAAAAAAAAATGCCAGAATTAGGGAAATATGCCCATTCAAAAACTAATGATGTAATATATGGTGATTAACATAATAAAATTTAAAAAATTTTAAAAAATAAAAGCAAATTCAAAATTATTAATTTTTTAAATGTTATTTTTCTAGTCTCATTTTTATTATCTATTTCTCTTTATATTTACAAATACTTTAATATATGGATATTTTAGAAGGCAAGATAATCAGGTAGTATCACCCACAGATCACACTTCTAAAAGAAGAAGCCACACAAGAGGATTAACTCACATAAACATTTGGTCTTTACAAGGGCCAATGGGCAAATATCATACTGCACAGTAAATTTCTGAAACTTTAGGGAAAGTTTTTATTCTTTAGCTAGAAAACCAGTGGAAAATTATGCTAATACTGATTATTTATAAGAATATTTATTCTCGGGGCGCCTGGGTGGCTCAGTCGTTAAGCATCTGCCTTCGGCTCGGGTCATGATCCCAGGGTCCTGGGATCGAGCCCCACATCGGGCTCCCTGCTCCGCGGGAAGCCTACTTCTCTCTCTCTCCTACTCCCCCTGCTTGTGTTCCCTCTCTCGCTGTGTCTCTCTCTGTCAAATAAATAAATAAAATCTTTAAAAAAAAAAAGAATATTTATTCTCACTTCCAGTAAAAATCCTAAGGACTTAAAATAATGGAAATTCATATAGGTTCCAATTATGTAGATACATACATACATAATACATATTTTAAAGCCCAAACCAAACCAGCATGAAATTTTAACCACTTGAGCCCCAGTCTTAATTTTACCTAGTTATAATTCTCTCTTAAAACCCAATTTCAAAGGCACTCTAAACCAGAAGCATACTGGCAAACTTGTATTAGTGACTTTGAGATAGTTGTTTCATTTTTATCAGTTCAGCTTAAGTACCTCTTTAAAATATT